TCTGTGACATTACACACTTCTAACTCCACACCTGTAATCCCAGTGCTATTTATCAATTCTTCTCCACAGTCTCGGGTCCAATGCAGTGCTCTGCACAGAAAGCTGAAAATTCTCACCATCCAGGGTTCCAACACAAATCAGCTGGGTTTATGGTGATTAATTTGGCTTTAAACATTATTTCCTGCCCAAACCCATGAAGAAGAAGGTAAAGAACAACAACCTGTCTCTGCCCTAAAACCTTCATATTTATTACTATATTCTAAAACCCTAAACTCTACGTTTTTTGCCCTATGGCATTACACACTTCTAACCAACTCCACACCCAAAATCTCACTGCTGTTCATCAATTTTGGAAGCCTTCTCCACAGGTCAAATACAGTGCTCTGCACAGAAAATTGAAAATTCTCACCATCCAGGGTTCCAACACAAATCAGCTGGGTTTATGACGATTAATTTGGCTTTAAACATCATTCCCCACCTGGAAAAGCTGAGTTTTTTAAAGCAGCCTCTCACTCACAGCATCAATCTCGTTGAGGATCTTCCACTGCTCATAGAGCACCCCCAGGCACTCTGCAGTCTGGATTGTCCTCTTCAGCTGGCTCGTCCACACCTTCAGGTCCACGATCTCCTGCTCCTCAATGAACTTCTTCAGAGCATGGGAAAACTGGGGAGAAAAGCCCCAGGGAGGTTAGGAGGAGGGTGATGCCTTTTTGGGCTCCCTAAAAACACAGGTCGGACTAAATTGAGGGAATAAAAAGCAAGTATATTTATGGAATATAAATATTCAGGTGTATTTAGGGCAGAAAAAGCCCCACAATGGCTACACCCAAAAATAGTCTATAGGTCACAGGTTTTCACACTTTTATAAATTTGGTCTATGTTGGCAATTAATCCTCCAATTACAGCTTCAGGTAGTGAAATAATGTATCCTCAGAAAATGAAGTAATTTATTCTCAGTTTGCTCCCCACAACTCACTTTTGTTCACATCTCTTGGACCTGAGGCAGTGAGGTGTCCCCTGATGGCCAGGCCTGGAGAGGAATTTGTTGTGTCTGCCCAAAATGGGAAAGCAGCAGCTCACAGTGAATACGGAGTTTACAGTTATACAATAGAGAACTGCAGAATTACAAATATATTAAATACAAAAGTTAAAATCCTAAGGCATTGAGGGGGCAGGGGAGCTGCATCTGCTCAGAGCATCCTTGGGGGATGTGGAGATGTGGAGCCCTGATGCCTTCAGATTTTAACCTTTCTAATTTATTTTAACCTTTATAATTTTCAAATCCTGTACTGCATTAGTGCCTAACTCTAAACTCCATATAAAGAGTTAACTAACATCTTCACATTTTGGTCAGGCAAAACAATCCCTCTGGGCTTGGAATTCAAGGAGAAAAGGAACAAAAGTGAATTGGGGAGAGGAACTGGGGGTATCTGACTTCATTACCTGGAGCTGTAATTGCAGAATTAACCCCTGATATGCAAATGGACCAAACTTATTTCAGTCTGAAAAACTCATGACCATCATTTCATGTTGGATGCAGCCTCTGGGAGGCTTCTGACTGCCCAAGGTGTAACTATTTAGGCCTTTAATAAATATCTACTTTTATTTTCTTAGTCTTGTCCAGCCCCTGTGATGCTTAGAGAGACTGATCTGGAACAGAGTTAAAAGAATAAAGCAGGAATTGATTGAAAGGCAATAAAACAGGTATTTATTGAAAAGCCTTTAAAGGATACAAGAGCCTGGCCAGGGCTACACCCAGGATGGATCCCAGTCACAAGGTTTTACACTTTTATAAGTTTTGGTCCATTTCCATATTGGGGTTAATTGTCCAATTACAGCTTCAGGTCATGAAGTCCCATCCTCAAGTCTGCTCCCCTCAATTCACTCTTGTTTATGCTTTTTGATTTTCTCCAGCTGGAAAAGGATTCTTTAGTCTAACTACCCTGTTTGAAAACCAGACACAGTTTATATTAGCATATATTTTCAATAAGGTATTACTTATGTTCTAGTGTTATTATTTCCAACATTTCTGTTTTGCTTTTTCAACTGTACTTTGGAGCATTTTCTGATTCTATTAAACTGTATTTTTCAGTTGAGTCTTATTTTGAAAGTGTAAATTATGTAAGGCTTCAGAAGGGAATGTTGGGGGATCAGCCTGGCCAAGGGAGAGGAATTTGCTGCAATAATTTGTAAAGACTGAAAAGGTGATGCATGTGTAGTGAAAGCCAAAGCAGATGATTCTGCAGTGATTAGGACAGAATATGAAAGAGGTGCTGCTTTAGAGAGAAAATGATAGATGATAAAAGTGTTGAGTAAAGGTCAGGAATTCTAAAGGAATTGAATGTGTCAGGCAGCACTGACAGAACCAGAGGACACAGTCTTAAGCTGCACCAAGGGAAATTTAGGTTGGATATCAGGAAAAAGCTTTTTACAGAAGGAGTGATAAATTCTGGAATGGTCTGCCTGGGGAGGTGGTGGAGTCACCACTCCTATGTGTTTAAAAAAGACTGGATGTGGCACTGGGTGCCATGGTTAGGGCTGAGTTGGACTCAATGATCTTAAAGATCTCTTCCAACCTGGTGATTCTGTGATTCCATGAAGAGAACTCACTAACACTTCATGGTGGTGTTCACAGGGGTCCCAGGAAGAGGGAAGAGACAAGAATGTTGACTCCATGTCTCAGAAGGCCTGATTTATTATTTTATGGTATATATTATATTAAAACTATACTAAAAGAATAGAGGAAAGGATTTTATCATAAGGCTTGCAAGCAAAAGAAAAGAATGGAATGAATAACAAAATCCAGTGTCTGACCAGAGACAGACACAGCTGGGCTGTGATTGGCCATTAATTAGAAACAACCACATGAGACCAATCCCAGATGCAGCTGTTGCATTCCACAGCAGCAGATAACCATTGTTTACATTTTGTTCCTGAGGCCTCTCAGCTTCTCAGGAGGAAAAAATCCTAAGGAAAGGGATTTTCATAAAACACATCTGCGCCAACACCTCATACGAAGCTCAGAACCCCACACTGAGCCAGCACAGAATCCGAGAAACCCAAAAGCTAAAACTGAAGGGTATCCACTCCAAGGCATCATCCCTGGCTCCTACATACCTGCTTGCCCCGGGGTGACAGCCCAGAGTCCCCTCCAATCCTGCCCAGGAGGTTGTACTCGCTCTCGCCGTGGCGGCACAGGTAGATGGTGCGCGGCTGCACGTGGATGTTCATCAGGTAATAGACAATTTTACTCTGGATGTAATCCTGCACTCGGTTCACCAGGAACCTCTGGCCCACGTTGATCACTTTAATGAAGGAGAGATCTCTGCAGTGGATAGAAAATAGAAACAGCCACATGGGTGGTTTGTTTGAAGTAATAGACAACTTTGCTCTGGATGTAAACAGCGTTCACAGAGTCTGAGGATGAGGGAAGAGATGAGGATCTGACTCCGTGTTTCAGAAGGCTTCATTTATTATTTTATGATATATATTATATTAAAACTATACTAAAAGAACAGAAAAAAGGATTTCATCAGGAGGCTGGCTAAGAAGAGAATAGGAAAGAATGATAACAAAGGCTCTGTCTTGGACTCTCTGTCTGAGCCAGCTGACTGTGATTGGCCATTAATTAAAAACAACCACATGAGACCAATCCCAGATGCACTTGTTGCATTCCACAGCAGCAGGTAACCATTGTTTACATTTTGTTCCTGAGGCCTCTCAGCTTCTCAGGAGAAAAAATCCTAAGGAAAGGATTTTTCATAAAACAGGTCTGTGACAGTGCTGCACTCGGCTCACCAGGAACTGCTGCCCCATGTCGATCACTTTAATGAAGGAGAGATCTCTGGAGTGGACATAAAATAAAAACACCCACATGGGTGGCTTGTTTGAAGTAATAGACAGTTTTATTCTAGATATAACCCTGCACTTGGTTCACCAGGCTCACGTTGATCACTTTAATGAAGGAGAGATCTCTGGAGTGGATATAAAATAAGAACACCCACATGGATGGCTTGAAAAATGAGGCAGGAGCACCTGGTTTTATCCAGCTACTGCTCCTCTAGGAAAGGTAGGACAGGCTCTGAACTGCTGGGCTTAAAAATCTGCCCTGAGTGGGCACCCCTGGATCCCTGGAAGTGACCAAAGCCAGGTTGGACAGGGTTTGGAGCACCCTGGGATAGTGGGAGGTGTCCCTGCCCACAGCTCTTAGAGATGGGCTTGGAGATCCCATCCAACCCAAACCATCCTGCGATTCTGCAGCATACAGAGAAAAATCCCTTCAAACCTCACTGGGCACCTGTGATTCTGCAGCACACAGAGAAAAATGCCTTCAAACCTCACTGGGCACCTGTGATTCACCTGCACACAGCCACACCTGAGGAGGGCAGAGGTGTTGGAGCATCCTGACAGCAAAGCAGCTCCTGTGCCCAAGGACAAAGGGATTTGCTTACTTGTCATAAGCATCCGGGTCCAGGGGCTGGTAGGTGACCTTGTAGCACTCAATCCTCTTCAGGAAATCGTCCATCACGTTCTCCCTGTGCCTCTCTGGGTAGTCAGGGCTGGAAACTTTCACCTCCTGCCCAACAGACAGCTGTGAGTTAAGCAAACTCAAGAGAGAACAAAAGATGAATAACATTCCCCCCTGTTGAAACAAATCCACATTGTTTAACACTGCCCCGAGGAAAAACCTGCTCCTGGAGAGGAAACAAAGGGCGACTCTTAAGGCACTGAAGTGGTTGGCCCTGACAGACACCCTGGCTAAGAGCTCTGCCCTCCCTCCCTGGCCAGCACAGCTTCAAGGTCACCCATTCCCGGCTCCGCTCGATTCCCACATTCTCACATAACGGCATCTCTGGCTTTTAATAAACCTGCAAATCCCAGCTGCTTATTGGGCAGGTGAAAGGCAAGAGGGAGCTCCCTGAGCCTGAGACCTTGCACTGAGCACCCAAACTCCCACGGCAGCCCGGGCTGGGAAGGGCAGCACCCACCAGGATGTTGGCAGCGATGACCTCTGGATCATCACAGACAGACTCCACGAAAAACACCTGGGGAAAAGGCAAGGGAGCACATTCAGAGCCAAAACTTCTGCGCCAGAGAGCCACAGTGACTGCAAATTAAACCACACACACAGTTAAAGCACTACCTTGAAAGCATTTTCCTTAGCAAAGTTCAAGATCAGGTCCCGGCGTTCCCGAGTCGTGTTGGTCGCATCGAACACCTGGCAGAAAATGAGGAAGGAGCGCTGAGCATCTTAAGCCTTTTAAACCCCAAATCAGGGGGTGCCTGAACACCCCAGATTTGAACTGCCCTGATGTAAAGCTATTTTTAGTGCAGAGGATCTTACAGCTATTTGCCCACACTCCTCCAAGAGATAAGACTTCACATCTTCCAGAGCCACCAGGGCACAGCGTCTGCGGGACAGAAATAGGGATGGTCACAGCTGACGGAAAGCATTCCCACAGCAAAGCTTCTGAGCCAGCAGGGAGGGGTTCAAACAGCTCCCTCACCGCCCTGTATTGTCCTAAGAGCCCCAAAAATCTCGGGGCACCAAGATCTGCGCTTTGTGCCACCCCAAACTCCCACGTCCATCCCTGGCAGGATCCCTGCACAGCCTGTGCTGTTCCTTCTTCCTTCCCCAGGGACTCTGGGTTATTTTCTGCTCCTCACACCCACAGCCTGCCAAAACTCCAGTGCCCGCAGCCCTGCCAGGGACTCACTTGCGGATTTCCATGGCCTCTTTGTTGTCGTGCCTGAAGAAGTCGTAGGACTTGTAGGACTTCACTGCCTCACGCCGATACACCCCTAAATTAAACACTTCACACACGGGAGAGGGGAGGGTGAGGGCATTCCTCTGGCAGGGATGTCCCAGAAATGTTAGAAATGTCACAGCACGGGACAGGGATGTCCCCACACACCCACCCACCTTTGGTGGGCACCCCGATCCAGTTGAGGTAGCGGGTGAGCTTTTTGGACATGTAGGTCTTGCCCCTGGCAGGCAGCCCGATCATCACGATCAGCGTCGGGGAGTTGGTCATGTAGGAAGCCCATGCTGAAAAAGAAAAAACAAAAAACAACCCCAAAACCACCCCAAAACGGCATCAGGGGCGCTGGAGAGTATAAAGTGAGACTCAGCACGGCGTTATCCCATCTCCTGGTGGTTAAAGCATCTCCGAGCATCCCAGGACGGGCTCGCTTTGTGTCCTTGTCATTAATGAGCTGCTGTGACCGCTCTGTGGTCTCCAGGTGTTTGTTAACGAGGCAGCACCGCTGCCTAATGGGGCTTTCAGTGTTAACAGCATTTCCCGCCCGGGCAGAGCCGTCAAGGGCGAACCAAAGATGTTTTTAACAAAACGGTCACGTTCCCTCGGGGAACAGCCCGAACCGGCTCCCAAAACGCCCGCGGAGCGGCGGATTTGGGGCGAAAAGCTCGGGATGGGGATGGATGCAGCATCCGGGAGGATGGGGACAGGGGNTTTAACTACATTCTCCTGCTCCTTTTTGTGAAACAGAAAATAAATATTATATAAATAATGTTTATTTAACAAATAAATATTTATTGCATTAATAAATAAACGTGGCCATAGGAAGGTTTGATGAGTGCTGTGCAGCAGGAGGCATTAACTACATTCTCCAGCTCCTTTTTGTGAAACAGAAAATAAATATTATATAAATGATTAGTTAATAAATAATAATAAATAAATTTAAAAAATAAATAATATAAATAATAGTAATTTAATAAATAAATAAAACCTTCTTTGGCCATAGGAATATTTGATGAGTGCTGTGCAGTAGGAGGCATTAACTCCATTCTCCAGCTCCTTTTTGTGAAACAGAGAAAATAAATATATAAATAATGTTTATATAATAAATAAATAAATATTTAATAAATAAAGCCTTCTTTGGCCATAGGAAGGTTTAATGACCACTGTGCAACAGGAGGGTTTAACTACATTCTCCAGCTCCTTTTTGTGAAAGAGAAAATAAATATTATAGAAATGATTATATAATAAAGAACAATAAATAATTTTTAAAATAAATAAAACCTTTAGTAAAGTTATAATAAATAAGTAATATAAATAAATAATAATAAATAAATAAATAAAACCTTCTTTCGCCATAGGAAGGTTTAATGAGCACTGTGCAACAGGAGGCATTAACTACATTCTCCAGCTCCTTTTTGTGAAACAGAGAAAATAAATATTATATAATAATGTTTACATAAATATTATAGAATATGTTTATATAATAAATATGAGTTTATTTAATGAATAAATAAAACCTTCCTTGGCCATAGGAAGGTTTGATGAGTGCAGTGCAACAGGAGGCATTAACTACATTCTCCTGCTCCTTTTTGTGAAACAGAGAAAATAAATATGATATAATAATGTTTAAATAAATATTAAAATAATGTTTATATAATAAATAAATGTTAATTTCATAAAGAAATAAAACCTTCCTTGGCCATAGGAAGGTTTGCTGAGTGCAGTGCAACAGGAGGCATTAACTGTGTGCAATTTCCCATCCCTGATTTGTCAGCACACAGGCTGTGCCTGCAGTTTGGCTGCAGGAAAGTGCCCACAGAGTCACCAAAACCTCCTTACCCTGACAGGAATGTTATCAGTGACGCCTGTGGATGCTTTTCCTGCAGGGCCAGCCCTGAGTCACTCATGCCCTGGTGTTTAGGAACAGGGTGAGGCTCAGCAGGGCTGTGAAGCTGCCAAAGTCCTTCCAGGGCACTTCAGGGAAGGTTTCTCTGCATCATTTGACTCCTGGCATATCCTTCATGCCACCTGTGTGAAATCACACCTTGTTTTGGGTTGCAGCTATTTATGTTTGTTGAAGGGAGAGGAATGTGGAGAAAGAACAGGTTCTTTCTGGGTTCCTGATTCAGAGGAGCTCCACATTTCCCCTAATGGATGCTGACACTTTCCTGCAGCTCTGCCTGTTGGACTGCCCAGACTGGAGCTGCTCTCAGACACCCCTGCCCACTCCTGTGCTGCTGCCACTGCAAAACAAAATCACCCCAGCTTTGCTTCCCTCCCTTCTCCGAGCAGGGCACAACTCGACAAACCCCACACAGCTCTAAATCTTCCACTTCAAATTAAAATTAATTCATTAAAATTTGAACAAAATCACCCCAGCTCTGCTTCCCTCCCTCTCTCAGAGCAGCCTTAGCGCAGGGCACAACTCGACAAAGCCCATACAGCTTTAAAGCTTCCCCTTCAAATGAAAATTGATTCATTGAAATTTTGGGTTGCAGCTATTTATATTTATATTTATATTTATATCTATATTTATATCTATATTTATATCTATATTTATATCTATATTTATATCTATATTTATATCTATATTTATAGCAGGGAAAGGTATGTGGCAAAAGAACAGGTTCTTTTTTGGGTTCCTGATTCAGAGGAGCTCCACATTTCCCCTAATGGATGCTGACACTTTCCTGCAGCTCTGCCTGTTGGGCTGCGCAGACTGGAGCCCTGCTGCTGCTCATTCACACCCTGGCACTGCAAGAACAAAAGCACCCCAAAATCACCCCAAAATCACCCATCACTTTCCTCTCTTCTCAGAGCAGCCTCAGCACAGGGCACAACTCAACAAAACCCACACAGGTCTAAAACTTCCACTTCAAATTAAAATTAATTCATTAAAAGCTGGAGAATCCTGTGCTTGGGACAGCAAACAGCTCAGGCAGCTGCTGGGGTGCATCAACCAAACCCACTTCATTAATTAATTAATTAATACCATGTTTAAGCTCACAGCTCCTGAAGCCCTGGTGTGATGGTGCTCAGAGGGGTTCTGGGATGAGGGAAGAGATGAGGATCTGACTCCGTGTTTCAGAAGGCTTGATTTATTATTTTATGATGTATATTACATTAAAACTATACTAAAATAATAGAAGAAAGGATTTCATCAGAAGGCTGGCTAAGCTAAGAATAGAATAGGAAGGAATGATAACAAAGGTTTGTGGCTCGGGCTCTCTGTCTGAGCCATCTGACTGTGATTGGCCATTAATTAGAAACAACCACATGAGACCAATCACAGATCCCCCTGTTGCATTCCACAGCAGCAGATAACCATTGGTTACATTTTGTTTCTGAGGCCTCTCAGCTTCTCAGGAGGAAAAATCCTAAGGAAAGGATTTTCCATAAAAGATGTCTGTGACACCCTGGCACCAGTCCTGCCCTCAATCCCTGGTTGTCACAATGCCCCAGCAGCTTTGGCTGCATCCCCATCCCTCACCAGGCCAGTGTGGGACATCTCAAAGGGCCGGGGCTGGCTGGGGCTCTCAGCTTTGTGGATTTGCTCTCCAGCACATGTTCCCTTCTGGAACAGCACTTGGCTGGGCTCAGCATTGCCCGTGGGAGCCTCTGCCTCATCTGCTCTCCCTCCATCTTCCCCTGCCTTTAATTAGCTGATGTTTCCACTTCCCTGTTCTGTGGAGCAGGGAACATGTGTGTTAACAAATCCTTTTGCTAAAAATACCAATTTAAAAAAATAATAATCATTGGAGCGTGGAAATGTGAATGAATGCAGCAGCTGTGTCAGCCCTGGAAATTTCCTGCAGGGTGTTTGTGGATTTGCAGTGAGCAGCACCTTGTCAAGCAGGTACAAGTCCATGCTGTGTGTGGGGGATGGCCAAAGCATTGTTAATCAGCAGGAAAAGCTCCAATTTTAACAACAGAGCCCAAAGTCAGGGTAAGACGGAGGCTCTGTTGCCCCTGGGGGTCAGTGTCACCCTGCACAGGGTGGGGACACCTGGGCCCCTCTTTGGAGGTGGCACCAGGGGCTCAGGGCAGGAGATGCTGCTGGAGAAATGCCCCAGCAGAGGTTCTGAGAAGGTTTCAGTGTAGGGATGAGCCTCATGGGCATCTTGGGCATCTTCAGCTTTGACCAGCAGAGGTTCTGAAAGGTGCCAGTGTGAGGATGAGCCTGATGGGCATCTTGGGGGGCTTCAGCTTTGACCAGCAGAGGTTCTGAGAAGGTGAAGATGAAAAGATGAGCCTGATGGGCATCTTGGGGGGCTTCAGAGGTTCTAAAGAAGGTGCCAGTGTGAGGATGAGCCTGATGGGCACCTTGAGGGGCTTCAGCTTTCACCAGAGCTGCAGGAGCCGCCTGTGGAAGGAGTCCCCAGCACAGGGCAGGAGCTTGCAGGGTTTTTTTTGGTGCCCACAGGGCACGGTGCCAACTGGGGCAAAAGCAGCTGCAGGTCGGGACAGGCACAGGAGCCGGGGAGCTGCGCAGACCCGGGCACGTAAATCAATCGGTGCCGAACCTTCCCTCCCCAAAACACTTTCTGCCTGCCTTTTACAGCCTCCTTCCTTCGCAAGCAGCAAACTTTTGGCCTCTGGGAAGCTGTGGCGCAATGCAAGCAGCGACCTGTTGGCAGAGCTGAGCTGCGGCATCGCGGAGAGCAGAACCGGCAATTACCGAGGGCAAGGCTGGGCTCGGGGCTCCGCTGTCAGCCAGCAGCTATGCTGCAGAACAGGATGTCGGATTAAGGCTCTCCTATCGGCCGAGCCGTGCCCAGGACAGCAGGGGACAGAAGGGAAGGAGCTGGGTGGCACCGGCAGAGCTGGCCCAGCTCACACCCAGCGCTCCGGGTTTGGGGGTTCAGCCGCGCTGGGACAGCAGGAAAAGCGCCCTGGCAGGGCTGCAGGATGAGCTGCAGCCGGGCTGGGCGCAGGTGAGGGGCCAGGGATCGCCTGGCAGGACGGACCTGCCCTGCACTCCGCCTTATCTGCGGCGGAGCGGGGTTAATGTGTAACCCGGCCGTGTTTGGTTAGCCCAGAAAAGTAAAGAAGTCCCGGGATAGGCACGGCCGGGACGAGGAATTTGCCAGCACGGAACGACGGACAGCCCGGTAAAACTGCAAAAATGGATTAATTCTCATTTCTGTTCCTGCTTGTGCTTTGCTTTCTGTGCTTTTCCTGCTGGATGGGCTGGGGGGCTCTGGGTACGCTGCTTTTGCAAGGGTGAAATGTGGTGGGGGATTCACCAGCAAAGCTGGACCAGGTGGGAGGAAGGCGCTGGGGAAAGCTGTGCTGGGGACAGCAAACAGCTCGGGCAGCTGCTGGGGTGCCTAATTTACTTGTTGAGATAGGAGGAAATTCAGATCTGCCCTTGACCCCTTTGCCCCTGGGCTGGGATCCATCCCCTGGGATAGCCAGAGCTGGAATTGAGCTGGGATCCATCCCATGGGCTGCTCAGAGCTGGAATTGAGCTGGGATCCATCCCCTGAGCTGGGATCCATCCCCTGAGCTGGGATACATCCCCTGGGATACCCAGAGCTGGAATTGAACTGGGATCTATCCCCCTGAGCTGGGATCCATCCCCTGGGATACCCAGAGCTGGGATCTATCCCCCTGAGCTGCCCAGAGCTGGGATGGTGCCTGCAGAGGGGCTTTTCCTTTGGGTTGTGTTTGGGGCTGGCAGCACAAAGCCTTTCCCAGGCAGGAAGGGTCTGGTTGTTATACCCCAGACAGCAAAACCGAGGTGTTCTAAGCCGGGATGAAGAGCGTGGAGTGGTGCTGGCTGAAAGAAAGTAGCCTCTTCTCTAAAGCAATTAGCATTAATTGCTACCCGGCACCTCTTTGATGGCTTTTAAAGGACAGTTACGGCAACGGCCACACGAGCTGAGGGACCTGGCCTTTGGATTTTGATAAAAAATAGCTTCTTCCAAATATGTTTTTAGCTGGGGAAGAGAGCTACACCACTGAAACCCAGCTATAAAGCAGTTTTTTGAGTCCCGTGTCTTTTAAATCAAACGCTCAGTCATGTTTTTAGTTTGTGGCTGTTACTGTTGTGGCAAAGAAGGAACTAAAATCCTTCTGAATCATTAAAACTGGGGGTTTCAATACTGATTTTTTCCCCTTTCCTCAGCTGGATGAGTGTGCTGGAGCTGTAATCACATCAGAGGGAGGAAAAGGAACTTCTTGTTTCGGTGCAGTTCCTCTGCAGTGCCCGGTGAGCTCAGGCTGGACTTTGCCTCCCATGAGCTGGGGCTCCGTGGGTGTCAAAGCCTTGGCAGCTGCTTGAGGTCCCTGAAATGCTGGTTTTGAATGAGAGAAAATGATTTCTTTAGTGGTGAGGGGGATCCTCGTGGAGAAAACGCCTCCCTGCTGGCCCCAAGCAGCTGCACGCTCGAGCTCCAGCAAGGCTTTCACTTCCCCAGGAGGGTTTTGCTGTCTGAAATTTGGGAGGGAGGCAGCCAGGAACAGCACAACAACCATGGCCAGGCCTCCTGCTACTGAGGAGCCGATGTAAATCTAGAATAGTTTTGATATAAATCTAAATTTCACGTTGTGGATGCTCCAGTGCACAGCAAAACCCTGCAGAGGCCTGAAGCCCCCCAAGCTCAGCTCTGCTTCCTCACAGCTCAAATCCCCGGCTGTGAAGAGATCTGAATTCAAAGAATCCAGGGAATTGCTGTTCCAGAGCCACCACTTACCTCAACGTCACTTAAGCAGTAAATAATGCAAAGCTGAGCCTGAAATATTAAACTCCTCCTGCGTGGAAGGATTAGACCTGTCAGGGCGTGGGTGTCGAAATCTGATTTTCGCGGCGTATTCCAATTACAAAGGAATTCTTTCAGGGTCTAACACTCTGAACAAGCAGCCAGTTCTGCTCACTTTATCTCTGGATCTAATTCCCTGATCCTGCTAGAAGGAAAAAAAAAAAAAAAAAAAAAAAAAGCAGCAGTGTGTTCCTGCCTGCAGGTTACAGCACAAAGGGCTCTGTGTGTGCCGAGCAGCAAATCCTCTCGCGTGGGTCCGTGTGTCGTGCAGGGGCTGTTGGTGTTTGTTTTGCTGCTCCCTCTCGCCCCCACAGCCCAGTTCCCTCCCCAAGAACAGGGTGGTGCAGGTGGAGGAGACTCATTGGCAATGCCAGGAAATTTTGGAAGCTTTGCATTCATCGGTAATGGCACCTTCTTCATGCCATTGATGGTGCCAGGAAATTTTGGAAGCTCAGCTTTGCACCCATCAGTAATGGAACCTTCTGTGGGTGCTCAGCAGAGCTGAGGGCAGGGATAACTGTGCCCTCTGCCCCCTGACTGAGGGGAAACCCAAATCCCACCCCAAGAACAGGGTGATGCATGAGGAGGAGACTCCAGGAATTTTTGGAAGCTCAGTGTTTTGCACCCATCAGTAATGGCACTTCTGTGGGTGCTCAGCAGAGCTGAGGGCAGGGATAACTGTGCCCTCTGCCCCCTGGGAAACCCAAATTCCTCCCCAGGAACAGGGTGGTGCAGGTGGAGGAGACTCATTGGTGGTGCCAGGAACTTTCGGAAGCTCAGTGCTTGGCATCCATCAGTAATGGCAATGGCACCTTCTGTGGGTGCTCAGCAGAGCTGAGGGCAGGGATAACTGTGCCCTCTGCCCCCTGGCTGAGGGGAAACCCAAATCCCTCCCCAAGAACAGGGTGGTGCATGTGGAGGAGACTCCAGGAAATTTTGGAAGCTCAGTGTTTTGCATTCATCAGTAATGGCACCTTCTGTGGTGCCAGGAATTTTTGGAAGCTCAGTGCTTTGCACCCATCAGTAATGGAACCTTCTGTGGGTGCTCAGCAGAGCTGAGGGCAGGGATAACTGTGCCCTCTGCCCCCTGTCTGAGGGGAAACCCAAATCCCTCCCCAAGAACAGGGTGGTGCATGTGGAATGCAATGGCACCTTCTATGGGTGCTCAGCAGAGCTCTGGGCAGGGATAATTGTCCTCTCTACCCCCTGGCACCCTGTCCCAGTGTGAGAAACCCAAATCCAGGCTGTTTGTCACCCTGCTGCTGCCACCCTGGGGTCCCACTGGTGATGGGAAGTCACTGCTGTGAGCAGAGGGGACATTGGGGTGCAGCTTGAACCCCCCCAGCCTGCCCTGCTCCCCAGCCCNGGGTGGGACTGGTGATGTTTAATACCTCAGACTATTCTGTGATTCTCTTCTGTGACTCTCAGCAATGCCAGCACGGCTGTGTTGTTGTGCTGGAGGAGCAGAACCAGCTTTAAGTTCCCCCTTTATGTCCCTCCTCCTGTGTGGCAGGTGACACTCTGATAGTGGAAGAGGACACATCCAAACCCGAGCCCGGCTCGCCGGTGGTGGCCAAAAAAGCGATGTCCCAGCCTGTGAGGGAAGCCGTGCCCGTGCTGGTCCGGAGGGTGGTGCCAGCAGACAATTCCTGCCTGTTCACCAGCGTGTTCTACGTGGTGGAGGGCGGCGTGTACGACCCCGGCTGCGCGCCGGAGATGCGCAACCTCATTGCGCAGATCGTGGCCAGCGACCCCGAGTCGTACTGCGAGGCCGTGCTGGGCAAAACCAACCGGGAATACTGTGACTGGATCCGCAGGGAGGAGACCTGGGGAGGAGCCATCGAGGTCTCCATCCTCTCCAAGTTCTACCAGTGCGAGATCTGCGTGGTGGACACGCAGACCGTGCGCATCGACCGCTTCGGCGAGGACGCCGGCTACAGCAAGCGCGTGCTGCTCATCTACGACGGCATCCACTACGACCCGCTGGAGCGCCGCCTGCCCTCCTCGGACCTTCCTCCCCAGACCATCTTCCCCAGCAGCGATGACGTGGTGCTGGCGCAGGCTCTGGAGCTGGCGGATGAAGCGCGCAGGAAGAGGCAGTTCACGGATGTGAATCGCTTCGCCCTGCGCTGCATGGTGTGCCAGAAGGGACTGACGGGGCAGCTGGAGGCCAGGGAGCACGCCAGGGAGACCGGACACACCAACTTTGGGGAGGTGTGAGCTCTCTAAGCAGCACGAGGAGGATGCCATCGACTACCTCAGCGCTCTGGAATCAGATTCTGGAGTCCCAGATAAGCTGTTTGTAATCATAAAATTCCGTTCACAGAGCTTGAAAAGCTTATTAACTAATTAACTAAATTAACTTCATGGTGGCCAACGCGCAGGTTTGGGAGTAGGGGATTGGGAGTAGGGATGGCACTTGGGCTGGTGGTGGACAGTGGCAGCCACACCTCGATTGCATCACCTTCTGTGTGTGTGTGTGTGTGAGCAGACAGGCACAGCCAGGCTTGTCCAACACTGCTGTAAAATCCTCAGCCAGGATTTTACACCAATACTGATGTAAAATCCACCTCTGAGGTGCTGAATGTGTGATCTGAGCAGCCAGAAAAAGCCAGGCCTTGTAAAATCCACCTCTGAGGTGCTGAATGAGCAGACAGGCACAGCCAGGCCTGTCCAATACTGCTGTAAAATCCTCAGCCAGGATTTTACACCAACACTGCTGTAAAATCCACCTCTGAGGTGCTGATTGTACATTTTCATAGGAATTCAGTTAATCTGAGGCTTTGGCAAACACACATATCAGCATCACTCACACTGAGAATTGGGCTCTGCACGTATGAGCAGCTCTCAGAGGGGAAACTGCTCGTGTGGTGCATGATTTATAATGGAAATACCAAGTACAATATCAAAAATACAATTTGTAGTGGAAAAAGGATCTCTGAGCTGCCCTGTACCATCAGGAATAGGCTGTGTAGTCTGTGTGCTGAGAACTTTAGGGAAAGCAATGGCCTCTAAGCTTTAAGGTAGCCTTTAAATTAATGAGTAGATGGATAAGTGTTGAATAAAACTTATTAATCCTCCGTAGGTAGTTTTTAGTTGCTTGAAAAATAACTCTGAACCCCCTGGTGTTTACACTGCATCAGAGCATAAGCATGTTGCCTGGAATACTTGGGATTCTTCTTCATAATAGCATTGGGAATTCCTGCAAGAGGGAAGTGACTAGTTAGGGAAGTGACTTCATTTGCATCTGTTAATGAATACATTGAATATTTTACTTGAGTAGAGCCAATTAAGGCCATGGTGTTACTAAGCTGTTCCAGTTTCCAGATACTGTGAATGAGCACTTTAAGGTTGAGTTCTCACTCTTTGCTGGTAAAAAGTTTTTTGCCCTCTGAAGGCCAGAGCCAGAAGGGAGGCTTGAAATTCCATCTGCTTTCTGCCTTAATGTGTTTGATTTGTCACCACTGACTGTGGAGTAGCAAGACTTTCATTGTGATAATGAAGTATCACAGCTGAATATTCAGATGAAAATAAGCTGGGGAAAGTTCCCCACTCCTTGGACTGTTCAGAATCAGGGAAGGTGAAATTTAAGTTTTAATTGGAATTATTTTACCTCACAGTGGGGTTGTGAAGCTTAACAGCAAGTGCTTTTGAGGGCTTTTAAAAGGTGCTGTAAAGGTGCATATTACTGAAGGGGATTTATGTTTTTTGGTTTGTTTTTTTTTTTAATTTGAAATGCCTGCAACACATCCTTATTTCTTGAATTTTAAAATATCCTTTGCCTGCCATTCTTCTGTTACTGTTTTGAGTGACCTTCCTTGCACTTTTAGACTGGGGAACAAGAAGGAGCATCCTCAGACTGAGGCAGAAATAAACCCCACGTGGGTTTAACCTGAAACCCAGTTTGAAAGGGCTCTGTTCCCTCAGGCACCCCACCAAACTGGTGCAGCCACATCACCTTTTCTGCTAAAATCCCATTTCTGGTTCTCAGCAGAGATCTTGAAATACAGGAGGGTTTTACAGAAGAAAGAACAGAATTACTTAAGTGCTTTGCTGAATTAAGGCATGAATAATTCAACAGCTCTAGGATCACCCAGAGCACTGTGGACTGGGTTTGTTTTTAATTCAGTATTAAAACACACATTAGCACTGGTAGGAGTTCCCTATAGAAAGCCACTTAGCTTCCAGTGTTAAACCCCACTCTGCTTTTAGCCTGTCATTAGGAAAAGAAGATAAACCCCTCCCAAAACCCAACATTGAACCCAGCCCTGTAGAAGCTGATGCTTAAAACCCTCCAGAAATACCTGACAGCTCAAAGGAACTTGAAGATGACACTGGAGCTGAAATACTGGCTAGGAACGAGACCAAGGGACTGGCAAGCCCCAGGTGTGCTCTGCCTGTCCCAGGGCAGCAGGGACACCCTGGGACACGGAGCTGACCCTCCCCTTTGCCATCTGCCACATGGACACAATACCTACCTCAGAGAGGTGCACCAGGTGTCTTTGAAACACAAGTGGAAGATCCATATTTATTGTCTGCCTTGACTTTGGGGAGCAACCTTTAGATTTTAGCTTTGTGTCCTGGATGGATTTCTCTAAGTGTGTGAAACATTTTTTTTTTTTTTTGGTATTTCTCAGTTGCAGTATTTGAAAAATGAGCTTTATTTAATCCAGAGTGTTGAGCTTTGCTAGATTATGTTTGCATTGGGAATTTGCTACCAGAGAATCAGTTCCCTTGGAGGGAGAACGTGTCACTATCACTGCTTGGATGTTTCTCTTTTGTTGCCTAGAAAAATAAAATCTCTTTGGTTAAAAAAAGATCTACCTGTAATTTGTGGTGGTAAAAGTTGATATTGTTACAGGCTGACAAAGAGCAAGTCCTTGACTGCAAGAAAAATTTCTCCTTACTCTCCTCAACTTTCCTTGACTGCAAGAAAAATTTCTCCTAAACTTTCCCAAACAAAAAGTATCTCCAAGTCACAACTGGATAGATTTAAAGTACAACTCCTTTTTAAAAATTTGTACTAGAGTGTTTTTTAATACGTTTTAACTAGGATTTTCCTGCTCTTAATGACACAGACAGGGAATTATCCCAAAAATGGCATTCTTCTAGTGGTGGGATGAACTCTGAATATCAGAATGGGATGAGATAAGCTTCAAAATCCTTTCCACACCAAACCACTCTGGGATTCTATGAAATTTGGTACCTGAGATATCAGGACTCAGCTGTAAAGAGAGTTTTGCATCCCTCCAGAATCTTATATACAAATTATTAAAGCAACTTCACAAATATTTGTGTCCAGTATTACACAGATCTACTCCATGGATGCAACTGAGAGAGGAGTTGGAGGAGAAAATCAGTAATAACTGGAATTTCTGAAGGACAAACCTAATTTCTGAAGTTCTGAGCAAACTCCTATCAAAAGAGCACTGAGAGAAGGAACATCCTGTTCCATGGCACATCTCAAAGCAGCACCTTTCCCTGGGCACACTCACAGGGGCTGTGGTGACAGTTTGGGGACAGTGTCCTGTGCCCCTCCTGGAGAACATCCCAGCTCTGGGGCAGCTGGAACCTCTCTGTGTTGTGTTTGTTCCCCTCTGGGGAGGGGCTGAATGAGGAGAGCAGAAATTCTGTGCGGCTGCAGGAGGTTCTGAGCAATCAGACTGGCACAGGCTGAGCGCTGAATCATCTGTGAGTGCCTGATTTCACTGCACAACCCACCCACAGCCCTGCAGCCTCTCCCTGCCAAGGAAACTCCACCGGAGGAACTCAAAGTTGTCAGCTTGCTGTTTGCAAAACTGCAGCTGCCGTGCAATGAAATGTCTGCCTGCATTTTAAATCAGACTTTGCATCCAGCTCTGAAACTGCTGTCGGGTTTGTTCCAAATAAAATTCCTGCAAATTGGTGAAATCACTCCTGCTGTGTCAGCTGTCTGAGCACCAACTCCCCTGAAACAGGAATAAAACAGAGGAGTAAAAAAATCAGTTTGTCCAGGACCACAGTGCCCTTGTTTATTATTCTTGTTTATTATTCTTGTTTATTATTTTTAATTTAAAGTCTTGAGGAAAACGTTGGGGAACTATTAAAGCTTGAGAGCTGCATTCTCCCTTCTGGTGTTAAAGGTAAGCAAGCCATGGGAACACTTCAGCTCCCTTCTCCAGCTCCTTTCTGTGAAACACAGATCATAAAGAAATATTATGTAATAATATTTCCATAATAAATATTTATTAATAAATAAATAAAGCCTTTCTTGGCCATAGGAATGTTTAATAAATGCTGTGCAATAGGAGGCTTTAACTACATTCTCCAGCTCCTTTTTGTGAAACAGAGAAAATAAATATTATATAAATGATTATATAATAAAGAATAATAAATAATTTTAAAAATAAATAAAACCTTTAATAAAGTTAAATAATATAAATAGTAATAATTTCATAAATAAATAAAACCTTTGGCCATAGGAAGGTTTGATAAATGCTCTGCAACAGGAGGCATTAACTACATTCTCCAGCTCCTTTTTGTGAAAGAGAAAATAAATATTATATAAATAATGTTTACATAAATAATATAGAATGTTTATATAATAAATATGTGTTTATTTAGTACATAAATGAAACCTTTGGCCATAGGAAGGTTTGATAAGTGCTGTGCAACAGGAGGCTTTAACTACGTTCTCCAGCTCCTTTTTGTGAAAGAGAAAATAAATATTGTATAAATGATTATATAATAAATAATAATAAATATATAATTTTAAAATAAATAAAACCTTTAATAAGGTTTTAATAAATAAGTAATATCAATAATAATAATAATTTAATAAATAAATAAAATCTTTGGCAATAGGAAGGTTTGATGAGTGCTGTGCAACAGGAGGCATTAACTACATTCTCCAGCTCCTTTTTGTGAAACAGAGAAAATAAATATATAAATAATGTTTATATACTAAATAAATAAATAAATATTTAATAAATAAATAAAGCCTTCTTTGGCCATAGGAAGGTTTAATAAATGCTGTGCAATAGGAGGCATTAACTACATTCTCCAGCTCCTTTTTGTGAAACAGAGAAAATAAATATTATATGATTATATAATAAAGAATAAATAATTTTAAAAAGAAATAAAACCTTTAATAAAGTTATAATAAATAATATAAATNCAGAGAAAATAAATATTATATGATTATATAATAAAGAATAAATAATTTTAAAAAGAAATAAAACCTTTAATAAAGTTATAATAAATAATATAAATAATAATAATTTAATAAATCAATAAAACCTTCTTTGGCCATGGGAAGGTTTAATGAGCACTGTGCAACAGGAGGCTTTAACTACATTCTCCAGCTCCTTTTTGTGAAACAGAGAAAATAAATATATAAATAATGTTTATATAATAAATAAATAAATAAATATTTAATAAAAAAATAAAGCTTTCTTTGGCCATAGGAAGGTTTGATAAGTGCTGTGCAACAGGAGGCATTAACTACATTTCCCAGCTCCTTTTTGTGAAGCAGAAAAATAAATATTATATAAATGATTATATAATAAATAACTATAAAGAATTTTAAAAATAAATAAAACCTTTAATAAGTAATATAAATAAATAATAATAATAATTAAATAAATAAATAAAACCTTCTTTGGCCATAGGAAGGTTTGATGAGTGCTGTGCAACAGGAGGCATTAACTACATTCTCCAGCTCCTTTTTGTGAAAGAGAAAATAAATATTATATAAATGATTATATAATAAAGAACAATAAATAATTTTTAAAAGAAATAAAACCTTTAATAAAGTTATAATAAATAAGTAGTATAAAAAAATAATAATAAATAAATAAAACCTTCTTTGGCCATAGGAAGGTTTAATGAGCACTGTGCAACAGGAGGCATTAACTACATTCTCCAGCTCCTTTTTGTGAAACAGAAAATAAATATATAATAATGTTTATATAATAAATAAATAAATATTTAATAAATAAATCTTCTTTGGCCATAGGAAGGTTTGATAAGTGCTGTGCAACAGGAGGGTTTAACTACATTCTCCTGCTCCTTTTTGTGAAACAGAAAATAAATATTATATAAATAATGTTTATTTAACAAATAAATATTTATTGCATTAATAAATAAACGTGGCCATAGGAAGGTTTGATGAGTGCTGTGCAGCAGGAGGCATTAACTACATTCTCCAGCTCCTTTTTGTGAAACAGAAAATAAATATTATATAAATGATTAGTTAATAAATAATAATAAATAAATTTAAAAAATAAATAATATAAATAATAGTAATTTAATAAATAAATAAAACCTTCTTTGGCCATAGGAATATTTGATGAGTGCTGTGCAGTAGGAGGCATTAACTCCATTCTCCAGCTCCTTTTTGTGAAACAGAGAAAATAAATATATAAATAATGTTTATATAATAAATAAATAAATATTTAATAAATAAAGCCTTCTTTGGCCATAGGAAGGTTTAATGACCACTGTGCAACAGGAGGGTTTAACTACATTCTCCAGCTCCTTTTTGTGAAAGAGAAAATAAATATTATAGAAATGATTATATAATAAAGAACAATAAATAATTTTTAAAATAAATAAAACCTTTAGTAAAGTTATAATAAATAAGTAATATAAATAAATAATAATAAATAAATAAATAAAACCTTCTTTCGCCATAGGAAGGTTTAATGAGCACTGTGCAACAGGAGGCATTAACTACATTCTCCAGCTCCTTTTTGTGAAACAGAGAAAATAAATATTATATAATAATGTTTACATAAATATTATAGAATATGTTTATATAATAAATATGAGTTTATTTAATGAATAAATAAAACCTTCCTTGGCCATAGGAAGGTTTGATGAGTGCAGTGCAACAGGAGGCATTAACTACATTCTCCTGCTCCTTTTTGTGAAACAGAGAAAATAAATATGATATAATAATGTTTAAATAAATATTAAAATAATGTTTATATAATAAATAAATGTTAATTTCATAAAGAAATAAAACCTTCCTTGGCCATAGGAAGGTTTGCTGAGTGCAGTGCAACAGGAGGCATTAACTGTGTGCAATTTCCCATCCCTGATTTGTCAGCACACAGGCTGTGCCTGCAGTTTGGCTGCAGGAAAGTGCCCACAGAGCCACCAAACCTCCTTACCCTGACAGGAATCTTATCAGTGACGCCTGTGGATG